AAAAAAGAGACAGCAGCAATAAAATCCGTAATTTGTAAGCAGAAAACTTATAAAGACATTTCCTTACAAACATTCACTTAAATAATAAAAATATGGTTAAATTACTACAGGTATTTTTCCACTAATGCTTACTGTTTGGAGCACTGGTGGTACCTTCGTCACTGTTATTCTTACTCAATAAATCCAAAGTAACACGGCCAGTAACCGCTGTATGAATAAAGTCAACGAAGCATACGATTAGCACAGACAGCAAACAGAAATGGTTGCCAAACATGTTTTCAACCTTATAAAATAATTCTATCCCTTACTGAGCTCGATCTTTTATACTCAACTTGTGGGTGTGGCAATATGTCTCTGGGTTATAAGTGAATCCGAGGTGAGGCACTAAACTACTCAAGTTTCCACGCTGAGGTCGCAGTAAAGGTCCACAAAGTGTTACGTAGGCAGGTGTGAATTAAATTTTGGTCCTTTTCATACAACTCTTGATTAGATGATTAACTATCTGGAAGGCATAGGTTGTTTAAAAAAACCACATGAGGCTGTAATAGTTTAACACGTTGTAGGTGTTAAAAGATGTCTTTTTCCTCCAGCGTGACGTCAATTCCAAATTCTTCGGACTGAGTTTTGTCTGCGATTATGATGACAAAAAAAAGATGTTCTGGAAGAAACAGTTAGTAGAAATTGTAACTGTGGACTGGGAAAGGAATTTGCTTTCTGTAAAATTGATTATTTTGTCAACTTTCAAAATACATAAACACCTTTTGAAATAAACTGCAGTTGGTTATAGATCATCTTATTGCCTTCACTGTTTATAAATCAGCTTTGAAAATTTGCTATTAGCAACTTAATAAAATTCTGCAAATTAAAAAAATAAATTTGTTTGGGAGGAGTAAAAGAGCTCTAACTGAAGTGGAAGTAGTCAGACGAAGGTAGCAGAACACGGGGAAGCTTGCTGAAAGTTGCCAGACGCAGATAGATTTTGAGAAGAAACGAGCGACTGCTTAGTAGTGCTGTTATAGCGAGAGCATCGAACTGACGATGCAGAAGCATGGCATTTACCGAAGTGTTCCTGTTCCAAAACGGTATCCTTGATTTGAAGAATTCCCACGCTTTTCTGTAGCAGTACGAGCAGCAGTAGAGAAATTCAAAAAAGTGGCGCTCAATACACCGAACAAGAAGAGCACTCTGTTTTTTTTAGTTCATTGGTGTTTTAGGTAGATCCGAAGCGAAAGTAGTTATTATAGAAATTTCACAGGGGACTGGCGTTCACATCAAAAACCTTTCGCTGGAGCAAGTTTGTTTTAATACAAAAACGTAATTTTTGATTTCATTTTGGGAAGCTGAGTCAAAATCCCAGCTTACTGTAAGTGGGGCGATTGGTCCCAAAGTTACCCTAAGTGTTGAGTCAACAATACGAGTGAGTGACTGGCAGTATTAGATGCTCTCACCCCAAATTACCTTCGATTACTGACCGGCCGATCAACTCATCATTCCTGGACCAGACATATCTTGCAAAAAATAACTTTCTAATGTCTGATATGTCTATTTAAAAATTTTGAGGAAACCATTATTCTTTGTAGTTCATTTTAAGTTGCGAACATTCCGTTACTGGTATTAAAGAAAGGTTAAAATTTAAACATGGCCGAATTGGTAGGCATGCGTTATAAAATGATTGCTAAAGTATTTGATTTTACAAAGAGTGAAACAAGGTGTAATTGTTCAAAGGTATGTGAAACAAAAAAAATCTCGGCAAAAAAATGCATAGATTTTCTCAACTTAAGGACAAAGCAGACTCCCTTACTTAGCGGCCCTAGTTAGACAATTCCCTTAGTTCTGCATATCGACTTCTCATATTCCATCATACAACAAGGTATCAAAACATTTTGATAAACTGACTAAATACATTAACGGTTGGACTTGAGGTAGTCTAGATACCAACAACGTTATGTGAGTTTGCTATTTTATAAATCTGTGCGGCGTGTATTCCGAGAATTGCACTGCAACAGTCAGCTCACGCAGCCAGTGTTGCTTAGCCTTCATCAGGTCTCAGCTTCTCGACTGAAAACCAGATAGGAACGCCCACGAATTTCTTTAACAGAATGGAGTCAACTTCTCCGCAAGACCGAAACAATGGAGCTTCTGGTGCAAACTGTGAAGCACAGTCGAATGCGATCAGAAACTGGTGTATGAGTGGTCTTACAGCAGCCAAATCTTTCGGATTGGCGAGTTGCCATCTGAGAGGCGCTTGATACTTGTGACTTTTCAGTCAAGTAGCATCTATTTCTCGTACAGTTATGCGTAGCAAGCGCTAATGAAATTGTTTTTTCTATAACTGCAGCACATTTTTATTTTTGGCCTTTAGCGGTAATTTGTTTGGGGAGCTAAAAGCAATAGATGCCACATCTGCATGCTGGTGGTTTTAATACTTTGATAGCTAGGAAGTGCAGTAGGGTCGTATAGGATTGTTTAACTGTTGATTGATTGATGCAGTATTGCCAATTCAGCACCCTGAATTTCCGATTTGTTTATGCACTTTCGTAGTTCCGATTTTTTTTCTGTTTCTTTGAATAATTTTTGGTCGATTCTCTATAACTCTCTTAGAATATATAATTTCATACACTGTGCTTCTTTGTATCTTTTACGACATAGTTTTTAAAATAATAATAAGGCTAAAAGTTTCGTAAAGATAGATCAGAAGTTTTCCGTTATCACGCTTGATCTAAATCATTTTGAATTTGGCATATACCAGAATTAGATAGAAAGTGCGCTATTGCGGTTTATTATGTCCACTTCCAAACATGTTTTCATTGGACGTTGACCCAAATTCATTTTTTGTATACGAGAGTTCTCGACAACTTCTAATTTATCTATTACAGTTTCAAATTTGTCTATGTAGCTTTTGCTGACTTTCTAACGGTTCAGTCTAAAATGTTACTTTAATCTCTTCGCCCTTTCACAACGCCAATTTCATGTCAGCAGGTAGTGTAATTGTTAGCACATGCATTTGGTAACCGCGGTCCTGGGAATCTGGACTGTTAAACTTCACCTTCTGTGCAGTTTTTGAACTCACAATTGTCAAATTCTTGGTCATTTTCTGCTTTGCCTAAAAATGCCTATTTAGAACTTGACAAATGGCTCGACGTAATTTTATGTTCTACTTGAGCCTGCTCTTACAAATGAATAGACATTCTGCTTCTTAATTTGAGAAGGTAATCAAAACCTGGAAGAAGCAAATTTATGAACTTTTAGAAAAAAAAAAACAGATTTCTGCGAAACATGAACTTCCTCAGTGCCATTTGTCAAGTTCCTTGTACAGAACTAAAATAGTGTGAATTAATAGGAAATTTTACTTGGACTAGAAAGTAGCCGAGAAATTTGAGTACTGTAAGTAAAAAGGTTATGCGGGAGGCGAGCTTGAACCTCTTCCAGATTTCCAGAACGGCGGTTGTTAACCATTACGCCATCCTCTGACATGAAAGTGACGTTGCGAAATGGTGAAGAGATGAAAGCAACAGTTTAGCACTGGATCAGTAGAAAGTCAGCAAAAGCTAAACAGACGAGTCCGAGACTGTCGAAGACTAATTAGGAGGTGTTGAAAAAGTCGTATTCAAAAAAAGAGGGTAAATTAATGTTTAAAGAAAGCATCTTTGGAGGTGGGCACGGTTGACTGCAATAGCGTTGGTGGAAAGAACAGAAATCCGTGTCAAGGAAACTGCAGATTCATAAGAATTATCGCTTTTGGTGCGAGAAGCTTGGCATTTCACAGCAGGATTGAACGATACGCCTAATAACAGTCTCAGACTACGATATTTCTTTTTTATACTTTATTTGTATTTCGTCTCGTGATGGTTATATTTAGAATGGCAGTTACGGGTATCCTGCTAATTTATTTTGTTCATGTATGTGAGGTAAGCAGTTTTAACCATTGTTTTTTTAAAATTTTTCAACTGATTTTTCTTATACGATGGTTTCTCTGCCATTAAAGCGTTAAATACTTCTAACTTTTTAAATTTAAACTACACTTTTTGAATATCTTTGGGTGCATTGAGGTGATATCAACTACTTATTTCAGAGTAATTTTGAGGATGCCCGTTGTCGCTGCGTATGTCCATCAACTAAATATTTTGCTTCATCGAACAGCACAGACAAAGATAATCATAGGCGTTATTATACGAAATCCAACATTCACGCATATTCTTGGTTAGCGGTATTGTCATTTATTCATCAGCAGCGTTTCTTCATTGGAAAATTTAGCAATATTCGTTTTTAAATTTTTGAAATTTGGGTTATGTGCTGTACGTAGTATTAAATCGTTTATTTTCTTTGGAATATACACGTCCTGTTTTCGTACTTTTATCATCAGAGTAACGTACCGTTTGGGCGGCTAGAAGATGAGGTTATGGCTTTGTTAGCAATTTCTGGTAGGTTTTTGAGGACGTTTATATATTGTTGTTATCAAATAATTTGATTATGGAATTAGTAATGTCTGTTATCCAAACAATTTACTGCGAAGCACCTTTGTGGGACTCAGGCAAAAATCGAACTAGTTTGAGGCCAGGCTAGGGCTACATCGTGCGCGACTCAACAAACAAAAGTATATATAAAAGTTTTTTGTTTTATTGATCGCGAATTGTGGGACAAGGAGTAGCTAGTGAGGTCTCCTTCTTTTTTTCATTCTCTGTTTGTTTGGTGCCTAGTTGTGTAACAGTAGTCAGCGTCATTTACAGTTAGTTTTATGGCGGAAATATTAATACCAGCAATCCAAGGCTTGTCTGTATCCAGTGACATCTTGAATTTGACCTTTCATGTAAATTAGATGGTGGGATAGAAAGTTTTATTTTCCTTTACGGTTCGTAGTCGACAAATATGTATTCTCTAGTAAATGGAATATGACTTTCTTACTCAACCATACGATTCACGTTTAGTTTCAGAGACGATATCTTTTATAGTTCTTTTCTTAAATTATTTGCGACATCTTTTGCATTTAAATTCTTCAAGAGAGCTCATGGGTTTGAGGTTCTTCTGCTTCTCATCATTGACTAACGTTTTTCCCTACTATTTATTGAATATCTTTGCTGTTGGCGTTGGTTTTTTATTAAATCCTCCAGTTTACTTGGATTCATTGCCATTGGGAGTTTACATATTTTTGAAGGGACTAAGCGTAAGCGGTTTTTGAGTTTGAGTTTTATTATTTCAGTAATCCCATAAACGTTGTCAAACCAAATGTTTTGGATGTTGTTGATGCAGCACATTTGGATGCATTTTTGGCTAACTGCGACTGTAAGAACGAGTCAAGGAATACAGTAATGCTTAAGGTTGGTCTACTGAAGCTGTCTTACTTTGAAGTTTTTCAAAGCTGTTAAATACTTAATATGCTTCTCGAAAGCAGTTTTTCATATTTATTTTTTTAAATTTTAGTTTGTAAGACCATGCATAGGTTCCTTTCTTTTCTTAAACTTTGTAGTTTCACCGGCTGAAAGTAAAGATATTAAGATACTAAACCATTTTTTTGATTAGTGATGTGGCTGAAGTAAGTTTCTTATTTTAAAACGGCCCATTTCTTGCAGTTAAAGTCGGTGGCAAAGTCAGTTGTACGATAATTGAGAAGAGAAATAGCTTTTTTTTTGGCACTCGTTTCTTCCTGGTTTTCTCAATTGCATCTTGCATAGCAAGACTTGTTTTTTGTTTATTTTTTAATCATCTTGAAAGGAGTAAAAAGGGGCAGTAGTTGACGCTTCGTTTCTCTCTTAACTATTGGATTATTCCCAACGTTTTCAAATATGTGTAACCAGCTCCTTACTTTTATAATTTTTGAAATTGACAATTGTAAACTTCAGAATTTCTTTAGGTGGTTGTTATCTTTGTCATGTGTGTTGTACTAGTTCTAGTTACGTATATGCTCTTCCTAATGTGTTTGGACCCGATGCTTCGGAGAAGACGACAAAGCATTCCTTACAGACAGCATAACGATGAAGTAATTAGTTTTTAATGTCGTCTGGACTTCACAGAAGTTAATTTATTGTTTTACTGCTGCGTGTAGCATAGTAGCAGTAAAGAATGATACATTGTGTTTTGGTGCAGTTTTTTATGCTGATTTATAAAAAACAATTTTAGTTAGAAGACAACATTTTTGCTCGGCCAGCAGATAAGGATGAAGGCGATGTTCCTACATCTACAATGCGACCTAGAGGGAACTGTTAGTATTTCCTGTTTGCTTTTTCTTTGAGTTTTTTTCTCTATAATTGGTTGGTTGTTTTCATGTTTTTGTTTCTGTTTTTTCTCAAGGTCCAGTTTTTTAGCTGGTGTTCTTCAAAGAGTTGAAGCCGAACAGAATAAATGGCTGAAGAAAGTTCAAGAACAAAGGAAGAATATATTTACAGATCACACGATGCTCAATTGAATTCCTTCCCTCTCCTCAACGTTCTCTGTCATATTAAGTACACTTTCTTTGGCTCCCTCAATTTAATAGCATGCATTAGTGCTGTTATATCAACCGAGCTGTTAACACAATTCTCTGAAGTTTTAGTCCGCTAACTGAGATTGAGTCCCCTGGGTTTAGTGGAAGTAGCAGAATTGTCAAGGACCTGACCGACACTGCTTAGGTAGTTCCACCCCACTCCACCTGTTCTCCTTAAGGGAATAGGCGTGAGGGAAACAGCAACAGCAAGTGGTAAACTCAATCGGGTTATAGTGAAGCAGGGACGTTAATCATTGCTTCACCTGTTTGTAATTATCACTGTCTTGTCGCCTCATGGCCTGTTCAATATGATTTTAGCTACACGACTTACTAAAATAAGTGTAGTTCCCCATTATTCAGATCTGCATTTAAACCGCATTTGGCTTTACTTTTTGAGAAAATAAAAAGTTGGCTGTACTCTCTCTTTATATTTCTTGCTTTAAAAACAATTGAGCTTCGCCATATCTCTCTTCCGCTAGATAACTATCACAAGGATATCAGAGTCTCTCCGACTGGCTGCCCTCCAACACCTCTCAGCACCCAGCTGTGCCGCTTGACCTCCGCGCATGTTAAATGCGCAGCGAAGCAGTACCCTAATCTTGTGAAGCGTTCAAAACGAAGCCGTTACCATAGCACCATTTAATTGCAGGTGTACAGACAAAACCCTTCGATTCTGCTGCTGCTTTGGTTCTTCGCATTCCCTCTTGTTTGAGCGCCGAACAAAAAGCAACGTTGAAGATTTTATTTGCAACCACTTTAATTGTAAAACGCAATGTAGTTGCAAATAAAAAAATAAATAAATAAATAGCCGTTAAACGGATGTTTGAAAGAAACGATAAAAAGAGTATAACTGGTGGAGAAGCACTCAGTCGCTACACACGGAAACAATCTTTCGGTAAAAACCCACTGAGTAAACAAAAAAATTTCAAATAGTAACATTCCCAATCGCGTTACTTGCGACATCAAAAGACATGGTAGGCGACCATTAGTCCGACAAGTGCAAATGCTGCAGGGAAAATACTGACGCCCATAATTGCGAAGCTAGGACAACAATTTCTTTCAATACCTGAATTAGCGGAAACAGTCTTATTCAGCGACCGAACAGTTCACGTAAAAGATTTAAGAAGAAAAAGAACACGACGACAAAAAGATGGTCAAAACCAGTTTTTGTCACCAATTTCACCATTAAAACGAAAAACAACAACCAGACTTACTCATTATTGAATTGTCGCTCCTCCCTGAGCTACCCTCAACTCCACTCCGAACTGCATTCCCATTAGACCTTCCAAGTAACCGATGGCCCGAAAAATCTTCAACACTCTTCCGAAGCTCAGTCATCTCGTTCGCCACACTCTTCGACGACTGCTGAGCTGATGACTTTCTAGTCTCTCTCCCACGTACTACTCGGACTTCAACTACAGACGCATCCGAAAAACGATCATCTGCTGAAACCTCATTCTTGTTGTGGAGTACTGGTAGGCCGTCATCTTCTGTTCTGTTGGACAACGACTGGTTCGGGACATCTTCCGTTCTGTTGCGAAGTGCTGATAGCTCGTCTTCTTCAGCTCTGCTCGACAACGACTGCTTTAGGAGA